CCTCTCTCATCTTTTTAAGTGGGAGAACTTGCACAATTGGTGGCTGACTAAATACTTTTTTGCCCCACTGTACAACGTGCTTCAACATTTGTGATCTAGAATATGGACTTAAGACACAGTATTCCCATAATTCTCCACTAATTAGCTGATGGAATTGTCAATTTGAATTATTAATGTTGCTTTTGTTTAAGCATTAGGATGGCTTGGTTATGTTCCTACTTCTCCTTACATGCTGGCCACATCCTGTCAGTTCTTCAAGGTAGACCAGACTAGGAAACCAAACTCATGCAGGCCATTACTACTTTTATTTTAAAGTTATAGTAACAGAATCTTCCAAGTCTGAATACCTTTCCCCACTCCTATCTTTGTGAAAACTAGGGAGGATCTTCCGAGATGTTTTCTCAGGTTACAGTTCTGTCCTGAGCTCAGATTTCTTTTATCTGACTGTTGTCTTGGTAGCGGTTTCATCTGTCCATTATACACCCATGTTCCACTACACAATGCCTACAGGAAGTTATGACACATCCCACCCAGTCTTACCACAGAATGACACCATTTTGGCACTGTGTGTCAATAACAAGTATCATCACAGATGCAATGGCTTCCTAATATATTTATTTATTCGATTTGATGCCACCCAACTCCAGACCACTCTGAACATCTTACAATACACCAAACAGTATGAAAACAATATAATGGAAAGAAAAGACAACAAAGCCAAACTTGAACAAAAGAAAGAAGGAAGTAGGTCAACTGAACAAAGACCAAGTCACTGATAAGATGTGCCACTAAGCAGTCTCCATGGGTGATTGTTATATCCCCTTTCCTTTAGAAAAAGTATAAAAAGGTGGCAAAAGCCTCAAGACACTTTGAACCTCAGCAGAGATCCAAAAACCCAGGAAAAACAGAAGCCGTGCAACTGCTAGCTCAAGCAGCTATGTCCGCTACCATTTCCTTGAGTTTCCTGGCAAGCTAAGAGGATGTGGACTGGTATATCTTTTTGTCTGTAATTCTCTTAATATACTCAAATATACATATATAGCAACTTCACCCTGGTTTGAACCTATTCTCTCTGAATTCTAAAAAAATCTATTGGCTACTGGCTAGTCACCAATGCCAATGATAAAATGAAGGGATTCCTTCAATAATTCGCAGACAAAGAAAATACAGATCTAGTTACCAGTAAGGCTTAACTGATTATTCTGAAGAAATGTTTGTCTAGCTAAAGAAATTGAGGGTTCAATTTTTGCAAAGCCCAGAACACACAGAAAAGTTACACATATAATTAGGGGAACTTCTACAATATCAGTCAATACACAGAATCCAAGATACTTAAAAGAAAACAAACTCCAAGAATACAAAGAACACTAGTTGCATGAGTTAAATGAAAATTTCATTGCTTTAAAAATAATTACACTTCACTTGAAAAGACAACTGTTTCAAAATAAAGCAAATTGGCCACACACTTTCCTAGAAAAAAGGGTCACGAAAAGACCTACTAATAAGCAGACATCTGTTCTGATTTTGTAGAGTCTGTCACATGCTCCATCAGCAATTATTTATTTCTGTTCTACCACAGTGATAACAACATACAGAAGCATCAGACCTCTTGAGAGGACAATGCTGTTAGCAGCTAACCTCATTCATGTATCAAAGCATTACCTCATCTTGGTTAGCTAACGCACTGATGTCATCTTCTGTCAAGCAGAATACACGTTCCTCTGGGGAAAATGATCTCATTCCATAAAGGAAAAAAAAATCTGTCTAGGAACGTTCAGGTTAATGCTTGTATGCTTTCTGGTACTATCACCTGCTCTCCTGTGTTTCTTTGACAGAAACACAGTTAAGAAAGTTAAGGTACTTCTAGTAAATGTTAGCAATAAAACAGCTGTCATATCTGATAATCTAGGTCAACATAATTATTTTTTAAAATGCGATTTAAATTGAAAGATAGCACTTTTTATACAGTGGCAGGTAGTATTGGCTACCTAAGAGAAGTACTGAAGAAGAAACAAAACACAACTGCTAGATAATATTTGAAACTGTAATTTTCCATATCCGTCCTTGGATAACTGAGCTACCTTTCACCCAGGATAGCACTCCACCAGAAACTGTAATGTTTTAAAATACTTTTTCAATAGCATGCTTTTCATTCAGCGCTATCAGTTTACTATCTTAAATATATTAAATGTGATACACATGGAAGAATAGAATTCAGATTTCCAGCTACATGCGTAGGTCACATATACTATTGAGTAACTATAAAGGATCCAAGGAAGAATCCAGGACAGTACAGTCCTCCTTCCAACTGTGGTCTGTATCAGACTCAGAGTCATTACTGGAAATATACATTTTACTTGAGACATGTACTTGCTTTGCAATATGCTAGCTTCCCATTCATTAAATTGAAAGATTCTATAAAGCAAAATTAAGATAGGGCAGGAACTCCAAAGATGCAATCACAGAACATTCTCAACTTGATGCAACATGTTGGGAAACCAGAAATTATTTTTCTTTTGGATTATACAATTCTTATGGAAAGCACAGTTGAAATTAATAACTCTTCTCTAGCAGACAAGGGCTGGGTGTGGTGTCTTTTCTACCTTTATGGTTTGAGGCTATAATTACTGACAGAACCTGGATGCAGCCAGATTAATCCTGTGTAACTGTTACATTTCAGAAAACAATAGAAAGCACAGATGTATTCCAGATATATTTCCAGTGCAGTGTAGTGGTTAAAGCACTGACTAGAACAGGGGAGGCACAGTTTCAAGCCTTGGAAATTCACCAGATGACAACAGACCAATTACTTTATATAAATTCAACCTAATGCCCAGGGTTGCTATTGTGGGGATAAAACGAATCATATAACCTGGCTTGAGTTTTGGAAGGAAAGGAAGGATATAAATCAAATAAACAAATAGTTTGTGGTGAACTTCTTACAAAAGTCAGCTATGAAAAATATTTTCCAGACAATTCAAGGTCTCAGAACACAAATAAATGAAATCATGAACAAAACTAGCTAACCCTATACAGGTAGTCCTCAATTAACAACTACCTCATTTAGCGACTATTCGCAGTTACAGTGGTGATGAAAAAGTAACTTTACAACCAATTCTTGCATTTACGACCTTTGCAGGTCTGTAAAGCAAAGGAAAGCTGAAGTAAAATCATAAGCACAGTTGCAGTTTCACTTAGCTATTGCTTTGCTTGATGACCAAGTTGCCGATCCCAGTTGTGGTCTTGCTAAATGAAGACTACCTGTATTTGTGCATACTAAGTCATTTTCACTTTTTCTACACAAAACCAACCTGTGTGACTTTCATTTTCTTTTACAAAATGAAGCAAGTAACCTATAGGGGCATATAAACGTATAAAAGGCACACCTGGTAAGCAGTTCTTAAGACTGTTGCAGAAGTCAGAAAATAAAATCATCTATTTGCATTCTAAGAGTTTCAAATGTATTTGCATTTCCGATTTTATCCCCATGTATTCTCCTGTTACATCTCTTTGCACCAGCTGTGTAGAGGCACTATATGAAAGTTTCTCTTGGATAGTTAATGTCCATATTGTTTCTGGTAAAGAACTCTGCAAAATTAGAGAAGACGATACTACCCATACCTTAACCCCGAAGGAAAAGCAGGGTATAAATCTAACAAATAGATAATTTCATGCTGCCCTTGGATGAAAACTCTGAAGACTTTTGACGGAAGCCAAATATTTAGAAACCAGCATTCTCAAGGCAACTTTTCATGTAGATTCTCCACCTTGTTATAGATATGGTATCGACATTTCCTTGGTAGCAAGTGTCCCTGAATTCAATGGGCTGTATTTCTAAACTACCCAAAGATTGTGCTGTAATTTATCAGACTTTGCTCCTAATGAAACTGTTCTGCAGATCTGACAGTTCTTCCTCCAGGAAAACTTCAGAATGATTTCTAGAACAATGAATAATATTTGGTACAACTAACATTCCTCAGGAAGCACTTTAGTGCTTTTCTTCACACCACAGGATATACTTTGGATAGTAAGCTAAGCCAGTGTTTCTCAATCTTGGCCACTCTAAGAGATGTGGACTTCAACTCCCAGAATTCCTCAGTCAGCCATGCTGGCTAGGGTGTTCTGGGAGTTGAAGTCCATACCTCTTAAAGTGGCCAAGATTGAAAAACACTGCGCTAGGTAGTTTCAGTGTGAACTAGCCCTTGAATTGAAGACTGTTCATGTAGGCTGCCATAAATTCACTGAAAACTTGATCTCTATATAAGGCCCGTCATGCCCAAACTCAGGATCCAAGGCTAACAGCAGCGAACAGAAAATAGTCAAGTTTGGCTTTGCAAGCCGTGTTCTTGGTGTGCCAAGATACAGGTGGAAAAATCAGTTTAATCAATTAAACATTAATTAAATGCTCAATTAAATGTTAATTAAATTAATTAAACGTTTAATTAATTTAGGGTAACCAATCTACCTCCTTGCCTTAATACAAAGATTAAATTCCTCTTCTTTTAAGGATACAGTATCGAATATTAAGAGGCTTCCTTTTCTTCATTCCTTTAGTTAACAGGAGTCGTTTGGTCTTTATTTTTGAATATTCACTACACTTTCTCTTTTATTATCATTGAAACATTGCGAACGTTAAGTGGAGCAAAGAATAAAGACAGAACAGAAAGTAAGAACACGGCAGCTCCATTCCACTTTCAAATCAAGTCAGTTTTGTTTTTTGTTTTTAACCGCGAAGTCTAAACTGTTGCACAAGCGGTTTGATAACAGAGAGAGCGAGGAGGGCGGGTGGGTCCCCTTCGGTGCCAGGCCTGACCCACGACATACTGGGCTACCTGCAAGCGCTGCTCGGCCACTTCTTAGTTCCCGAGGCTTGCGCAGGGGACCGTGCCTGTCGGGCAGAAGCCAGCACGAACCATCAACCGCGAGGGCGCCGATTAGCAGCTTCGGCTGTGCAGAGCAGGGTTCGTCAACCTCAGCAACTTAAAGTCGCTGAGGCACCCTGGCGTAGAGACGGCGAGTCGAAGAAGAGAGCAGCAGGAACGCGTCTCGCCTCTCTCCACGGGTGAGCCCGGCTGGAAGCGACCTTTTAAGGAAAGCCGCTCTGTTTCTAGGCACGCCGCGAGGACCACCGCACCGGGCCGAGAGCGCGCGGCTCGAGCGACTCTCCCCTCGCCCAGCGGGCGCAGCACCAGGCACCAGCCCGGGAGCGGAGAATGACTCAGACGGGAGACCACCCACCACCCGGCCAGGGCCACTGACCTCTGGTGACTCCTCCTCCGCTCCCACGGTTTTCCCCCTTCCGACCGCTTCCAGGGCTCCCCACGCCCGCTTTCTTCTGCACTGGGCTCCCCAGCTCAGCCTCGCTCTTAGCACCGCCCTGGAGGCGGGGGTGGGGGGAAGAGAGGAAGGAAGCAAGGGAAGAAGGAAGGAAGAGGTTGCCGCTGCCTAGGATCGACGACGACCCCAGCAACAGGGACATTTGTCCAATGGCAAGCGCGGGCGCGGTCTCGTTCCTGCCACCCTTCGAAGCTCGGCTGGCAACCGCCCCCCTCCCTCGGAGAGGGGCTGCAAAAAGCCGCCCCCTCTCCGCCGAGGTAGGTGGGCTGAGCGTCCTCCGCTTCGTCACCGTTGCTGGGACGAGTTTAAAAGGACGCCGTGCAAACGCGCAAGCTCCGATCCTTTGTGTTCAAACTGCCTGTTGCTTCCAAGCTGCGTCGGCCTTTTTCTTCGCAGCGGGCAAGGGCGATGCTGCTTGAAGGGAAGGCTGAGAAAGTATGCTGCATTGCAGGTCCCCCCCCCCCCATTGATGCACATAAATACACACACACAAACAGAAGGATCTGGGCCACTTTTGGTGAAGGGGCGCTGCCTTGATTCAGAAAGCTTGTAGGAGATGCGCATCCTGTTTGGTGCGCGCATCCCAATCAAACTGCCGAGTCTGAATTGACAAGAAATTGGGAACTGTGGGCTCATTTGCACAACCAAGATGCCCAGCACGAGTATAGCCCGCTAATAGTTTGCAGTAGGCAGGAACACAGTTCCTCGGCCCACCGGGCAGGCAGCCTCTATTCATCTTTTCCCGCTGTGTGTCAAAAGTGTTTTCCAACTTGTGTGGACAGGAGTGGTGGTGTTTGGGTCATCTGCTGTGCTTCATTGTAGGCAAATACTCCGCTCAGCTACTAGGCAGGGATCCCTGGCTTCTACTCACTGGCTGCTCTTCTCTGTGGTTATTTCTCTTGGTTACCTATCCCCTGAAGCAGGGTTCCTCAATCTCAGCCACTTTAAGATGGGTGGACTTCAACTCCCAGAATTCCCCCCCCCCCCACCCCGCCCCGCCGGATGTAATTTTGAGAGTTGGTAGGTCCCCCCCACCAACAAAAAGTAGTTGGTGTGACCTCACAGACCAG